GCGGGGCGATTTTTGTCGCTGCCCCCCCCCCCCAATAGCTAGCAATCCAAAACAGTCCAGTGGCACCTGAGCGGTGGGTGTTGCCTTCTGACACACTTCCGGTGATGTCAGAGGGTGTGGCACATGCAAATAAGTTATGCTAATGAGCTATGCTAATGAGCTCCTGCACCTCTTTTTCTGCGAAATGACCCCGCATGTCAGATTCACAAACTTAGGTTAGTTGGATTCGAGTCCTCTAGCAGCTTTTAATGGCCCACAAGATTTCCCAGAGTATAAGCTTTTATTTATTTATTTATTTATTAGTTAGTTAGTTACGTTTATACCCCATCCTCCCCGCGAACGGGCTCAGAGCGGCTTACAAAGGTCGGTACGATGTACCTGGTCTCCATAAAACATTTTAAACACTTTAAACAAATTTAAACAGTCATATAGTTAAAATACTCTAGTAGTTAAAAGTGCTCACAGTCGTCGTTGATACTTCATTAGCTTAAGTGGTGCGCTCTAAGATGTACCCCCAAAATTCCCAGCTCAGCGATCCTCCGGCCTCCTGCGGAGATATGGCTCTCCCTCCACGCTAGGGCCGGCCCTGTACCACAGATGTTCAATAGTGGTAGTTGGTGGTAGTGATGAGGACGGCTCCTAGTTGAAAGCCTGGCGGAAGAGCTTCGTCTCGCAGGCCCTGCGGAACTGTAAAAGGTCCTGCAGGGCCCTGATCTCTTCCGGGAGCTCATTCCACCAGCGAGGAGCCGCCACTGAAAAGGCCCTGGCCCTAGTGGAGGCGAGCCTGGCCTCCTTAGGGCCTGGAATAATTAGTCGATGTTGTGACCCCGACCGTAGTGCTCTCTGGGGTCAGATACAAGCAGGAACGGAGGTCCCTATCTAACAAATGGAGTTGTGACGCTCGGAAGTTTTATACCCTGGAAATCTTGTGGATCTTTCAGGTGCCGCTGGACTCGAATCTTGCTCTTTCCACTGCAGACCAACATGGCTACCCACCTGAAACAGAGATCAGTTAGAGATCGAGAGGAAGAAGGAGGAGGAGATTGGATTTATACCCTGCCCTTCACTCGGAGTCTCAGAGTGGCTTACAAACTCCTTTCCCTTCCCCTCCCCACAACAGACACCCTGGGAGGTAGGTGGGGCTGAGAGAGCTCTGACAGAACTGTCCTTGAGAGAACAGCTCTGAGAGAACTGTGGCTTGCCCAAGGTCATCCAGCTGCATGTGGAGGAGGAGTGGGGAATCAAACCCGGTTCTCCCAGATTAGAGTCTGCACACTTAACCACTAGACCGAACTTATCCGTTGTGTGCTGAATCTAGCGCAAAACATTTTCTCTGTGTCCTGCATACTGTTCCCTCTAAGCTGAGTTAGTTTGAGCTAGCTCACAGTTTTTTAGCCTCTGGCTCACACATTGTTTGTCTTAGCTCGGGAAGGAATGGCTCCGGAGCAAGCTAATTTATGCAGCGGCCAAATTGCTCGCTCACAGCTTTAATGCCAGTAGCTCACAAAGTAGAACTTTCGCTGGCAAGACTCCACAGCTTACAGGGAGCATTGACCTGCTATTGGTGGAGATGAGGGGAGCAAAGGGATTGGCTGTTACCTGGCTAAGCAGGTCCTTGGGAATGTAGGGTTGCCAACTCAGGGTTGGGAAATCCCTGGAGATTTTTGGGGTGCAGCCTTGGGGGGGGGGTGGAGTTTAGAGAGATAGAGCGGGACTTCAGTGGAGTATAAGACTCTGAGACTCTGAGTGAAGAGGGGGGTATAAATCCAATACCACCTTCTTCTCTGTCTTCTGGGGATTAATTATAATTCCAGAAAACCTCCAGGCCCCAGTTTGAAGTTGGCAACCTTGCATCTTGGAGGTTTCTACGTCTTGGGAGGGGGAGGCCATGTTTATCTGTTTGCCAGGGTCCCTCTTTCCTGGGCCTAAACCGAATTGTCTTCTTCCTTTCCCCAGAACTGCCCTCCACAGAACTCCGTGCCGGTCCGGAGACCAACCTACGGAAAACCCCGCTGGCTTCTGAAAGAGGAAACAGGCCCTGCCGTTCTTACGGGGAGGGGGAGGGGGGAGGTGATCGAAGCAAATGTTCCGGCATGTTCCCATTTTTGTAGCTTTTGTTAAAAAAATAAAGTTTTTCTATTTTGCAGAACGCCTCTTTGAGGTCCATGTCAAGTTCCCCTAATTCAGCCGCAGTCCCAACGTTTGACTCATCCCCCCCCACCCCCGGGCGGAATCTGAGATTAAAGCAAAAGAAAAGTAAAAAAAAATTGGTTGTGACGAATTTCCTGGAAGGTGCAGGGCGGGGTTAGCCTAGGGTTGCCAACTCAGGGTTGGGACATACCTGGAGACTTGGGGGGTGGAACTGGAGGAGGGCGGGGTTTGGGGAGGGTATCATGCCGTAGAGTCTGCCTTCCCAAGCGGCCATTTCCTCCAGGGGCACTGGCCTCTGTCCCTTGGAGATCAGTTGTAATCAATGCTCCTTCTAAGGCAGGGGTGTCAAACATGCGGCCCGGGGGCTGGATCAGGCCCGCAGTGGAACCGGCTGTCTTCTGCTTCTTCTTCCAGTTCTGCTGCTGCTGCGTCATCGTAGGTTTGCAGCTCACAGGTACACACCTGAGCAGCCTACTCGAGATTGCAACAGCACGGACGTTTTGATGCAGTAATTCAGAGCAAGAGGTGTCAGTTATCAGACACTGTTAAATAAACAAAATATCACAAGAGTGCTAACGTTTTAAGCATGTTTTTATTTTAAGTAAAAAAACCCACCCTTTGTGTTTGTGTCCTTTTATAAAGTTTATATTTCCGCTGCCTGGCGTTACATTTTATGACACACCCGGCCCGGCCCAACAAGGTCTCATCTATGTCAGATCCAGCCCTCATAACCAATGCGTTCGACACCCCTGCTTTAAGGTGTGGAGTCTTGTGAGCAAAAATTCAACTTTGTGAGTGACTGGCATTAAAGCTGTGAGTGAGCGATCAGGCTGCTGCATAAATTAGTGTGCTCTGGAGCCCTCCTTCCTGAGCAAAGGTGAAAAGGTGTGAGCCGGAAGCTAAAAGACTGTGAGCTAGCTCACACTAACTCAGCTTAGAGGGAACACTGGCTGTGAGGCAGGTGGGGCTGAGAGAGCTCTTTCGAGGACTGCTCCTGTGAGAACAGCTCTGAGAGAACTTGTGACTGACCCAAGGTCACACCAGCAGCTGCATGTGGAGGAGTGGGGAATCAAACCCGGTTCCCCCAGATTAGAGTCCGCACTCCTAACCACTACACCAAACTGGCATCTTGGCCAGAGGGTAGCCCACCCAATCCTGGGCTGATCACAGAAGTAATCCACAAGCGTGAGATTGTTTCTGTGTCAAGTGAACAAGAACGAAGTTTATTTTTTAAAAAACAAAATATTTACAATGACTCAGGAGATGTAGGTCCTCTCACCGGAGGCTGAATCCAGGCCTTCGGTCCAGTAAGGTGTGCGATCCGCCACCGACTTCTGGGCTTTCCAAAATATTCCCACTTGCCAGTTTCAATGCAAGCCTCCTAGGCCGTAATGACCACAGCCAATGTTCCCTCTAAGTTGTGGAGTGTTTTGAGCAAAAATTCTACTTTGTGAGCTACCGGCATTAAAGTTGTGAGCAAGCAATTTGGCTGCTGCATAAATTAGTGTGCTCTGGAGCCTTCCTTCCGGAGCGAAGACAAAAATGTGTGAGCCGGAGACTGAAAAACTGTGAGCTAGCTCACACTAACTCAGCTTAGAGGGAACACTGGCTGGGACGCTGGTTCACAGAATTCTCTTGGGTCTCCCCACTCCTGACAATGAGCCAAGCTTTTCAGACATAAGGGGAGTGTCGATGACACTTAGGGCCATTCCATCGCTTTTGGCCATCCAGAAGTCTGTCCCGTTGGTAACACAGGGCCTTCCGAGGGTTGGCAACAGCCCTGGAGGAAAAGTGTCCTGTCTCTTTAATGGAAGCTTAAGGTCGGTTAATTCCCAGGTGATGTCACTCACCTCCACGCCATGAAAGGCTTCACCTGGACATTCCCACACACTAAGCCTCTATTAAAGGGACAAGGCATTTTTCCCCCTCCAGGTTGTTCCTTACCAAGGAAGGAGCCAGTATCCCAAAACACCACTGGGTGACTAAAGAGGGTAGTAGAAGATACAAAAGACTTCCGTCTGGGCCCTGGGAGAGCTACTGCCAGTCTGAACAGACAGGATTGGCCTTGGTGGTCTGGAAGGCACTGTGGCTCAGTGGCGGAGCCTCTGCTTGGCATTCAGAAGGTCCCAGGTTCGTTCCCCACCATCTCCAGTTAAAAGGGCCAGGCAGTAGGGGATGTGAAAGACCTCCGCCTGAGACCCTGGAGAGCCATGGAAGGGGGCAATGGCTCAGTGGCAGAGCCCCTGTTTGGCATGCAGAAGGCCCCAGTTTCAATCCCCGGCATCTCCAGTTTAAAAGGCCCAGGTAGAGGGTGATGTGAAAGACCTTGGCCTGAGACCCTGGAGGGCTACGGGGAGGAGCCATGGCTCAGCGGTAGAGCATCTGCTTGGCATTCAGAAGGTCCCAGGTTCAATCCCCCGCATCTCCAGTTAAAAGGTTCAGGCAGTAGTTAATGTGAAAGACCTCAGTGGCAGAGCAACTGTTTGGTGTGCAGAAGGTCCCAGGTTCAATCCCTGGCATCTCCAATTTGAAAGGACCAGGCGGTAGGTGATGAGAAAGGCCTCTCTGCCTGAGACCCTGGAGAACTATGAAGAAGGGCCATGGCTCAGTGGAAGAGCCTCTGCTTGGCATGCAGACGGTCCCAGGTTCAATCCCCCGCATCTCCAGTTCAAAGGACCAGGCAGGAGGTGACATGAAAGACCTCAGTGGCTGAGTGCTATAGCCTCTGCTTGGCATGCAGAAGGTCCCAGGTTCAATCCCTGGCATCTCCAGTTAAAAGGACCAGGCAGGATGTGATGGGAAAGGCCTCAGTGGCTCAGTGGCAGAGCCTCTGCTTGGCATTCAGAAGGTCCCAGGTTCAATCCCCGGCATCTCCATTTCAAAAGGACCAGGTGGTAGGTGACGAGAAAGATCTCTCTCTGCCTGAGACCCTGGAGAGACATAGACAGGGACTGTGGCTGAGTGGTAGAACCTTTGGTTTGCATACAGAAGGTCCCCAGTTCAATCCCCGGCATCTCCATTTCAAAAGGACCAGGTGGTAGGTGACGAGAAAGATCTCTCTCTGCCTGAGACCCTGGAGAGACATAGACAGGGACTGTGGCTGAGTGGTAGAACCTTTGGTTTGCATACAGAAGGTCCCCAGTTCAATCCCCGGCATCTCCATTTCAAAAGGACCAGGTGGTAGGTGACGAGAAAGATCTCTCTCTGCCTGAGACCCTGGAAAGTCACTGCCAGTATGAGCAGACTTTAATGGTCTGATTCAGTCTAAAGGTAGCTTCATGCGCCAGAATGCCTGTGCTTTGGATCTGGACCCACAATAGTGAAAACTACCTTTAGGCTTGTCCCATAGACAGGCGGGAGTCCAAGAGGAGCAAAAATCTGATGCACCTGTTTTGTACCTGTTGGCCCACAGGTGGGCACAGGTGCCAGGTATTCCCCCAACAGCTCTGTGGTTAGACTTGTTGACAACCGGGTGGAAAAAGATGCTCTGTCTCTTTAACACAGACTCAATCTGCTGCAGGTGAAACTTTTCATGCTCTGGAGGGAAGTAACGCTCACCTGGTAAATAACATCCCATTAAGCCTCCATTAAAGGGACACCCCACCACCACACGGTATTGGTCATCTCAATTTTGCCAGCAACTGAACCAGTTACTGGCTGTGGACTAAGAAAGGGGGATTTTAGGAAACCATTCTCCCCTTTGTTGCAGCAGTGTTGTGGGTGCATTTGGAGAGGGACTTAGCTGCTGTATATATGGTGGTAAGTAAACTGAGAAAGGTCAGGCATAGGAAGCGTTCGGAACAAGGGGATTTCTGAGCATGTAGAAGCTGTTTTGGGGGTGGGGCTGTGGCTCAGTTTGGTGTAGTGGTTAAGTGCGAGGACTCTAATCTGGGAGAGCCGGGTCTGATTCCCCACTTCTCCACATGCAGCTGCTGGTGTGACTTTGGGTCAGTCACAAGTTCTCTCAGAGCTGTTCTCTCAGGAGCGGTCCTCGAAAGAGCTCTCTCGGCCTCACCTATCTCCCGGGGTGTCTGTTGTGGGGAGGGGAAGGGAAAGGAGTTTGTAAGCCCCTCTGAGACACCTTTGGGTAGTGAAGGGCGGGGTATAAATCCAATCTCTTCTTCTTCTAGAGAGAGCTCTCTCAGCCCCACCTACCTCACAGGGTGTCTGTTGTGGGGAGGGGAGGGGAAGGGAAAGGAGTTTGTAAGCCGCTCTGA